TTCAGAGATTGACACGACGTCCTTCTGTGTTTTTATGGCGTCTCCCTGGTCAAGACGACTGGTTTCAGCTTACTTGTCGAAAATCTACCGGGGTATAAATGGTGATCTAACACAGCGTGTTAACAATTTTTCTGCATCAGGCTGTTCTTGAGCACTTCAAAGTTAAGATTCGATGGCAATTTAAGGATGATGCCGAGTTTGTTGAAGGCTTTTTTAAGGCCGCACAACACAGTATTTATGGGCGAACCCCGTAGTCAAAAGTAGTCCGGGCACAAAGTAGTGCTGCACAATACTAGAGAAGGGTGCAGAGATTGTTCTGAGCATGGTATCGAGATAGAACCTGTGGTAAATGTTAGAGGAATACGCCAGTTTTGAGACTGTACAAGTTGAATTATGGTGCGTGTTCAGTCGGCGTAGATTTGCGCTTGGATACTTGTCCCGCCTAGTACTGTGCGTCGGCTGCAGTTCCATGACCTCCGCAGTGGCGCTAATAAAAGAGGGCATGAGAAGAAAACTAGCCGGCAAATTTAAGCTCATTTTCGCATATGTTGTACACTATACCCTGAAATTAAACATATCAAAAATCTGAACCTTGCTTGTGCACCCTACTATGATTTTCAGTGAGTCGAAGTGAGTTACTTTGGGGTCCTTAACTATAGAAATCCCCATAGGGCTAAAACTGTGTTGTGCCGCCTTAACGTTTTGTATGGGGACACTCAGCTCAGAGGAAAGAAGCGGCCATCTTGGACGAGACCATTCTGACACATGATATGATAAAGATACAGCTAAGATATACATAGATAATAAAATAATAAATCACATAAGTCATACACGTTTTCTTGGAGTCGTGATAGATGAAAAGCTTTTTTGGAAAACACATATTGATCATATCTGCAAACAAACTTATAAGAACATTGGAATCACAGTATAAGAAAAGTTGCTTATAAGTGCTTAGCGCGAAAAGTATCTAAGACTCTGTACTACACTTTAATATTCCCCTACTTGACTATTGCAATATCACCTGGGGTAGCACGTACTCAACTTCACTCAAACCACTGCATCTGTTGCAAACACAGCCTCCCTAAATATTTCGTAATCTAGAAATTATGACAGTTTACGACATAAATAAACTACAACTAGAAAGGCCGGCATTTGCTTTGGAGAAAATTCAGCATGACTTCACCACATTTTACAACATGTCAGGGAAAGAAGGAGAAATACAGGGGAAACAATTCTTTATTACATTGATATAACTATAGTATGAAGTGACAACCGTTGGATAGCAATCCCTTACATTATTGGTAGGGATTTTTAATTTCATAACGCAAACTGTTGATTTTCAAGATAAAAGAAGCGTTTATGCCCCGCATTCCAATACTGGAGCAGGAAAGCTTGACATACCTACCAAAACACTTGAATAAAGTTCATACTGTCAATATGGCATGGCTTTGTACAGGTGTTAATTAAGTTAACCCAATCAGATCCGAACAGCCAATCAGCAAGGAGAATAGAGGAAAGCTGCATGCCTATTGGTTGCCCGCTCTACATGCCATTCTGATGACTCATGCCCAAGTATGGTAACACACTGTTATAGTACATTTTCTATAACACAGCCAAAAAGCTCAAATAAAACTATTTCAAAAGCCTGTATCACAAAAATAAAATAAAAACACCTGGGGGTATTTGCCCACTCTACCTTCATGCCAAATTTCATGTTATTTGGCCCAAACATGAAGGAGTTGAATCAATTTAAAGAAATGGCATGAGAAGAAGAAGAAGTAACGTGAGCAAAAACAATATGACTTCACCACTAGGTGGTGAAGTCATAATTAGCTATTTTCATCCATGAAGTCATCACAAAAGTCATTGCATTCAAAGGGGTAGTGCAGACAATGGTGAGTACTGACTGATACTTGTTGTGTGATGTTGGTAGCTATACTGGCACACTGCTGTACAAGCCTCGGGATAGGGCACAGACACTGGGTATGAGAATTGCTCTCAATTCCCAAGGGAGGTATCAATGAACTTCATTTTTGGGGAATATAATCAAAACCCCTCAGTGTATCAGCCAGGGGGGTTGGTTTTCCTCAACTCTCTTTTTTTGTATCCCTGAATGTGTGCTTCAGTGAGTTTTGTTGCAAAGCATGCATTTTTCTACAATAACGCTAGATGTCGTCACTGGATAAAGAAACCGTGATGAGCTCAGTGCAAAGACCCTACCACACCTCTGCGTTCAAGTTCATGTTAAGATTACCAGTAAAAGAAAGATAAAGTCTTAACAAGGTTGGCAAAATGTCATCGATATACACTAGGCTACATTTCATAAACACATTAATTTGTTGAAGGCATTGGCTTTTGTACCTCCGTGAGGAGATTTTAGACCCTGTTCACACGGAATCGCGATTCGGGTAACTCGCATTCCTCACATCTGGTCCACGAGACACAAGTTCTTTTCAAACCGTGCCGGAGCACGATTTGTCTAAACTACATTTATTTATTTATTTATTTAAATTGCGAACACTGCAATACAGTGGAAGCCCTGGCAGCTGAACGCTACTGAAAACATAACCTTCTTGGCGAAGGTAAAAAGTAACAATATAACTCAGTATGGTAGGAGGCCAGAGGTCATTAAAATATGTAATATTTCAATGTTTACAGTATTGTAGGAATAGATGGAAGGACTAAGAGTTAGAAGCGGTTCGTTGATGAAATGTAAGTGTGAAGAGCGGCCGAAAGGTTTTGATCTGTAAGAGGGTCGTGACTTGGATAACCGTTGAGAAGGATGTTGGTAGAGAGTGGTCGATCTATCTAAACTACATTCATTGTCGTTTGATGAAAACACGCAAGGTAGCGTGTTATCGATGTCAGAGGTCAACGACCTGGTTGCTGGTGTCCCCCTCCCAGCGTATCTAGGCCGAATGCCGACGTGGTGCCGCCAGAGGCGGTGAAGGGCACAGCACAGTAATAGGGCTTTCCTATGTTAATATATGGGAATTATGTCAAAACAACGTGGTCAACATTCATATACCTGAGTTTTAGGCTTTGAAGAACATACATTGGCAGGGTAGGCCAACCTCTCAAGTCTCCATTCCCAAAAAACGAAAGAGAATTCTACCCAAACATTGAAAAGTGACCCCTGACCTCTCTGGACATGTACAGCTGATGACCGCATGTAAACCTATGTCTCCTTCAGCCAGCCAGACAACACATACATGGCTGCAAGTCTGTTTTTTCACCAAAATGAAAATACTACAACCCTTACGTATAACATCCAAGTCCAAAACAACAACATTTCCCTAGAAAAAGACTTCTTTACACTAGACTACATTACATTGCCATCTCTATATACTAAAACTGGGCCCTCTGCGCCTGCGCTATTACTGACCTTTGCCCTGAAGCTCGTCCTACAATGGGCACATCATTCGTTCATCACTGCTCTTTTCGTTGCTGCCACGTTAATGTAAAATTTGGTATTGCATATAAATAAACAAATATCACCCCGTAATCCATGACCGAGTCAATATGTATAAAGTAAACAGGTGAAGTAACATTGCGTTCAGACGCAAATCGCGATCCGGTGAAACCGGTTCGAAACTACCTCCCGAGGTGGTTTGGGATGAGTTTGAGTTTGATTTGAGTTGAAGCGTCCAGATGGGGCCGCTTGAATCCGGCTTCGGTGGAATCTGGATCGAAAGCGCTTACAACGTATCTGTGTGAACGATGCCTCAGAGATATGGCTACAATAGGTGCCATTTGATATTGCCCAGAAAAGGTCATAGTCAAATTTTCTGACTTAGGCCCCATTTCCACTAGGATAGAATTGTCCGGATCAAACCGAATTGATTCGCTTGATCCGGCTTCGATCCGGATCGAAGATAGCTTGGAGCTGGATCAAAGCGAATCAATTCGGTTCAATCCGGACAATTTTATCCTAGTAGGAATGGGGTCTTTGTATTACGGTATACGTAGACGTCCAAACATGTGTCCAATAGTTATACACGTGTGTTTCATCTCAACATCACAACAATCAAAACACGCAAACACAATGTTTACAAAAGTTTTCACAGCTGTTTGTTCACCCAATGATTAATGAAACTACTATATAGTAATCTATTCTAATGACTGTACAATTACCCTGGATGCCAAACTAGTATCGGGCCGTTAGCCGTTTTCCTTCGGCAGCCGAGAGCCCTTCGCCCGCCTTCCCTAAATTACCGCCGAGTTGAGCCCGGGGGGAGTTTGGCTGGCCCTTAATGTTTGTCCGGCCAGCCAAACTCCCCCCGGGCTAGACTCCCCCGTAGCGGTAATTTACACCAGCGGGCGAAGGGCTCTTGCGGCCCGGAAAACGAGTTTGGATTCCAGGGTACTGTACAATGGACCACGATACTTTGGCAACGTTTGCGTCCTTAGCCAACATACCCTTACATGAGCCGAGGGAGAATCTTATCAAAAACAAAATTTTCTTATTACTCAGCAACCATGGCATTGGTTCTTTAGACATCCTGTCATTGTTTGACCGCAGAGTAAGCATGTGCCATGTAAGGCCACAGCAAGTAATTTTTATGGATGACATCAACACGAGCATTAATTTTCGTCTGATTTTGGAATAAAAAACAAGAAATTTGTTTGCCTTTTGACAGTGGTCACCATGCCGAAAATGGGAAAAGATGTCTGTTGCCATGCCGGAACGTGGATGGCAGATAACTATAAAGAGGGGAGACAAGAAAAGGCTCTGATTTAATGTTTCATTTCTTACTTTGATGCAGTTATATCTGATGTTGGCTGTGTATATGTGATGTTCCCACTGAATAAAAACCATGTACCATTTATTGGTTGAGTCAACATTTTGAAACGTAGGAACCTTGTTTTTTTTCGCCCGCTCGCATTAGATTTGGAGTCTGCGGATGACGTCATCCATAAAATTTACTTGCTGTGGCCTAAGCATGTGTCATGTAAATTTACTCGCCTGAATGCAAAGCCCATTTCTAGCGAAGGACACCATGGGAAGCTTGGTGTTTCTGGTTTTCCTCGCCCTTCTGCGCCACGGAGGCGCTGCAAATGTCAGGAACCTCCCTGTCCATGGCCACGAGGAGACAGCAGTCGGACAGCAGAATGAAATCACCGGGCAGCAGTGCGCGGTGTGCTGCCCATCTCAGTCAACCCCGTCCTGCCCAGCTCTGGACCAGCTCTTGCTGTACAGCGGCACGCTGAACAGCCTGGAGGGACAGTTAGAACAGCTGAGGAACAGGACAGACAGCATGGATGGACAGCTGCAGCAGCTAGCTCAACAGGAGATGGCTGAAGTGAGTATTTCAAGCTGGTACTCAACAAGTTGGCAGAGTGTTGTGAGAAAAACTAATTTTGTGACAAGTTTACCTCAGTGAGGGGGGCGTCTTTTATACCGCTTTACTTTGCTTTTTTTGTGTTCGCGAAGATAACTCACTCGGGTTTTTTTTAATTATGGGTTCACCACACCACGAAGTGGTGGTGAACCCATATTGCTTTTTCTGATGTTTCTTCTCCTTCTCCTCCTTCTCCTCCTTCTTCTTCTCCTGCCATTTTTTAAATGGATTCAGCTTCTTCATTTTAGGGCCCGAGGTCCTGAAATTTGGTATGGAGGTACAGTGGGCAAATACCCCTAGGCGTTTTTAAATTATTGTGATACAGGCTTTTAGAATGGTTTTATTTGAGTTTTTTGGCTGTGTTATAGCAAATGTATTACTGTGTTAGTGTGCCTTGTTTACCACGTTTGGGCATGAGTCATCACAATGGAATGCAGGGCATCAACCAATAGGCATGCAGCTTTCCTCTATTCTTCTTGCTGATTGGCTGTTGGGATTTAACTTGATTAACAGACTGCACAGAGCATTTCCACCTGCACAGAGCATTTCTTGATGATTGGCTGTTGGGATTTAACTTGATTAACACCTGCACAGAGCATTTCCATACTGACAGTATGTCTGTATTCAAGTGTTTTGGTAGGGATTTCAAGCTTTCCTGCTCCAGCATTGGAATGCGGGGCATGGACGTTTTTTTTTTTTTGAAAATCAACAGTTTGCATTATGCAATTAAAAATCCTAACCAATAAAGTAGGGAATAGCTATCCAACTGTTGTTTTAGTTGTATTTTACTTCATATTATAGTTATATCAATGTAAATCATTGTTTTCCCTTGTGTTTCTCATTCTTTCCCTGCCATGTCGTAAAATGTGGTGAACCCATCGCTGTATTTGCTCCAAAGCAAATATTGGCCTTTCTAGTTAGATTTGTTTTAATTTTACTATACGGTATTTATTGAGGTACGAAGAGAGATTGTGTAGATCACGCCGGTGCGTTTGACGGATTTCTTTAATTTTTGCCACATGATTTACCGGTGACATCGATCGTGTGGCGTAAGGGTCAGTGTGTTCGGTTCCTAACCAAGAAGTCACGGGTTCGATCCCCTGGCATGCCCGATGGGGTACCACTGGAAAAGCCATTTTACACGGCTTTCCTTACTTCATTTAGGTATAACCTAGGTTTGGTTAGGGACGCCCGTGCCGTGTTTGAGGAGAGCCACACCCCACGCACGTTAAAGAACCCACCACACCTTTTGAAAAAGAGGTGTTCGATCGTCGTACTACTGGGCATTAGTAGTTGACATTACCCGAAGAAAGAATGAAAATATTAGTTATTACTTTTTTCACTTTTTGCTGTGGTTTCATGTGTTGAAATAAAATAATTGGACACACACACACGTATAGCACGTGGTGTGATAGTGTCATGTTAGGGACTCCTGTCCGAGGGGTTATACTATTTTTCGAATTTTTTAAAATTTTTTATTCTGTTTTCTTTAGGTAGGGTTGCCCTCTCAGTGGCACTGCTTTGCAGCGGGGAACTTATATAGTACACACAGATGATACAAGCTAAGGAACAAAACAATGTGGCAAAACATACAGAAGTACCAACAGGACAAAACAAACACATGTGAGAAACTACAAATACAAAGCCATTATCCATACTTAGGCCATACCGATTTAATTTTATGGATGACATCCTCAGAAGACCCCCAAACTAGTGCGCGCGGGCGAATAAAAAAAAAATCCGGCCAAAAATAAAAATGCTACCAAACCACAGGAATACGAAGCTGGTATAGTGAATACGTGGCAATACATAGCGACGTATACGACAAGCTGGTGCATATTGAAATATATAGTAATTGACGGCCTTGGGTTTCTATAGTTATCAGCCGATTAACAAATGTATTAGTAACTGAGGTCATTTTCTTGAGGTCCTTTCCATCAGTCTTCACCGTGACGACAGCTGGAGGCTGCACAATGAATGGGCTATACCACACTACTTTCAGGAGGTGGATGGGGCTACCATGTATTGAGTTTTATGATTGTGACATCACTCTTTTTTTTCTTTCAGCGTTATTGTTGATATTGCTATTAACGCGATGTTTTTACATTTTCAGCAGTCGTTGTGACCACCATGCGTTACAAACTGGTATACCTCTTGCAGGGGTGCCAAAGGATTCATCAGAATTTTACGGAATTCATGCGATCCTTACTAGGAAAATACGAAGTTTACGGAATACATACGATCCATTACTAGAAACACAGTACGGAATACATACGATCTATTACTAGAAACATACGAATTTTACGGAATACATACGATCCATTACGCGGAATACATACGATCCTTACTAATTTGGTGACTTGCACCACCATCACGTGACATCGGCAGCAACTTCAAGATGGCGGACTATTATATGGTGATGTTCTCCCTACAATATCTTAATTTCAAAGAATCTTAAGGGCTTGTCCTGCCCTGCTAAACCCCAAACTGCGCTTCTGCGGGCTTCTTTTACGACATAGTAGCTTGTATCTTAGACCAAATAGCAGGGCGATGCTGGGGATCGGTGGAACCGGTAATCGCGGCGGCAAGTCACCAAATGACCCCAAATGACCCCAAATTAGTAAGGATCGTATGTTTCCGCGTAATGGATCGTATGTACATGTATTCCGTAAACTTTTCGAATTCCTAGTAAGGATCGTATGAATTCCGTAAAATTCTGATGAATTCTTTGGCACCCCTGTCTTGGAGGTTTAGAATCTCACATTAAATTTCTTGTTTGAACAGGTTCAGGCCGAAAATGACCTGAAGGCGACTGTCGAGGCACTTCAGGCGACCGTCAGTAGTCAGGACAGCAGCATCCAGCAGCTGCAAGCAACTCTGCAGCAACTGGAAGTGACCCTGCAGCAACAGGCCAGCACGATCCTGCAGCAGGCAAACAGTCTGCAGCAGCTGGAAGGTAAGGCCACACCAATTTAATTTGTTGTTTCTCTGATTTTTTTCAGAAAAAATATGAACCGCGGCAGGGCGAAAAAAAGGCACCCCATGATAGCCGAAAAGGTTACAATATGAGCCATGAAGTGAAAATACCAGGCTGGTTTATAATTAAAACAATAGATTTTGAACTTTAAATGAAACAAAATTGCATTGTTACATTGAAAAGCTTTAACAAATAAGAAGAAAAGGGCTTTCTTCAACCGTTGGGGCCCAAATATGTCTTTCATTAAGCATTTTGCAGTTGATTTAGAACGTGTTTTTTTTGCAAATCAGAAAAAAATGGACAGGGCGAATCTGAAGAAACAACAAATTAAATTGGCGTGGCCTAAGAATCATCAACAGGCCAGCAGAGTTTGGATGCAAAACCATTACTCGTATATGCACTCATTCAATCTTCTGGGGTGCTATGGGAGGCGTATTTCCCAACCGGGGCCCGGCCGGGCTGCTAGTGTTGATGACAAAAAAGTAAATCAAAAATTCACATCAATATATATATATATATATATATATATATATAT